TATGATTGATGTTTTGATTTTACAGTTGTCAATTCTGAGAACTCTGCATTGTATAAGTACATTGTGCAAAATAACAAAAATATATTTAGAAACATTTTAGAAAGTCTTAGAAATTCTGTCCTAATCCCTAGCTAAAATTAATTTATGCTGTTTTAAAAAATTTTTATTGAGCTTTTGATCATTCCATACAACAGATTTTAATCAAATTTAGACCCCCCTCCTCATCCTTGCTCTCCACCCCCACCAGACCTTATATATTCCACCATACATGTTAAGTTCTATCATTTTATGCTGTTTTGAAAGTGAAGTCAGCAAGTCAAACACCAAGTTTAAAATCCAACATTCTTACACAATCCAGTCCAAAGATATACTAATTTGACACATGTGGAGAAGGATAGTGGGAGAATATTAAATGTTTTTGCTTTCTTTAATTAAACCATCGTGTTCTACAGGAGCAGAAAGCTTTGTATGGACAGTAAAAACACTACAATTCAGAATGTGCCGTTGTTTCCTATCTGTGTGGAGGAGTTTTCAGGCAGTGTTTGTTGGCATGCCTTTGTTGCAAGGCATGACAGCAAGCATGCTCAGTGCAAAGTGCATATGTTGTGTGTTTAGAATGAAAGCTACAGTGAAGTTGCATGATAGAACCTGGGAAAGCATTTCTAGAAATACCTTGAATTCATTAAGCATTTAATTTTGAATTAAATTTTGGTGTATATATATATATATATATATATCTTTTATTTTATTTAATTTTGAATTAAATTTTGATCACTATATATATAAACCTTTATTGTCACCAAATTTTTGTGCGCCCCCATATTCAGTGATATGATCCTATGTGGGTTTTCTCTACCTTAAGAAGCTGTATCTAGGAGAATTGGATCCAGAAACTCCTGTGGATACAAAAATGCTTGCATGCTCAAGTCCCTTTTATAATAAAATGTTACCTTTGCACATTCCCCAATATACATTAAATCATCTCTTGATTAGTTATATGTGATACAATCTAAAGGCTCTATAAATAGCTTTTGCATTCTATGTTTTAGGGAATAATAGCAAGGAAAAGTCTGTACTTGTTCAGTACAAGCTTTTCTAGATTATTTTTCATCCTCAATTAGTTGAATGTACAGATGTGGAATCGACTGTAAGGCTTGACTGCACACACACACACACACACAAATACAAATATATGAAATGTATACTTCCATGGATGTTCAAGTAAACAGTTTATTCTGGTAGAAGATATTAAGTTGATTTCTTTTTTGTTTCTTCTAGGCACATCAAGTTGTGCTATCCTCATCCAAAGCCCACTGAGTCTATCCTGTGACATCATACACTGGAAGTAAGTGGGCTTTTATTTTGAATTACTTGCAATGTTCAGGTCCCCCATTAACTCACCTTCATTGCTGTTTTGGTCTCCAAGCTTTTGCAGTTGCCTGCTTTCTTTTCCTTCATTCCCAATTGCACCCTGTCCTACCACTCTTTAGCTGTGTGACCCTGTACAGCTTACTTCAGTGCTTTTAACAGTCCTTTTCCTAGCCAGGTGTGGTGGTTGCATGCCTTTAATCCTAGCTCTAATGAAGCTGATACAGGAGGATCATAATTCTGAGGCCAGCTTGGACTTTACAGTGAGACCATCTTTGAAAATAATCGCTCTCTTATGTATTAAAGGGGACAAGGATGGTTATATTTTATATGGGTTTGTGAGGAATGGCAGAGATGATGCATGGCTCACAGTACTTTCATAGATTAAAAATGGTAAATATGGGTGCTGAGAGGTGGCTCAGCAGTTAAAAGCACTCACTGCCCTTGCAGAGGACCCAGGTTTGGTTCCCAGCACACACATGATGGCTAACAACTGTCCATAAGTCCAGCTCTAGGGGATTCTACTTCCTCTTCTGGCCACCATGGGTATTGCATGCATGTGATGCACTTACATACATGTAGGCAAAACACTCATAAGATAAAAATAACAAAGTATTAATTTAAAAACAAATTAATCATCACATATTCTTGAAAAAAAAATGGTAAATTTGTGTCCCCAGATGTCATTCAGTGTGAATCTTTCCTCTGGGCCCTAAAGTCCCATCCCTGTAAGACACTGTTTCTTCCCCTCCATTAAACTATATTCTATGAAAATCACAAAAATTCAATAAAAAATAAAATTTGAAAAAGGTATATATAACTGAGGATGAAGCTCAGTTGCAGAGCCTATGCTTAGCATTTTTTTGAGACAAGGTCTAATTATATAGCCTTTGCTAGCCTAAAACTTGCTCCATAGACCAGGATGGCCTCAAATTCACAGAGATCTGTCTGCCTCTGCCTCTGCCTCCTGAGTGCTGGGATTAAAGATATGCCATTATGCCTGGCCCTACAGGTATGTATTAGTGATATGAAATGCTTACATAGGACTTTTTGAGATTTATCTTTAAGTGTGTGTATATATGTGTCTTTGTGGGGATATGTGCCCATGTATGCAGTTGTCCATAGAGTCCAGAAGAGGGTCTTAGATACTCTTCAGGAGCTGGAGTTATAGGCAGTTGTGAGCTGTTCAACATGAATGCTGAGAAGGGATCTCTTGTCTTCTGTATAAGCAGTAAGTACTCTTAACTACTAAGCCACCTCTCCAGCCCCTTATATAGACCTGTGTCAGACATATCCTAATTGTTTAAATAGGTGAATGAATCCATTCACTCTATAATAACCCATATGTTTGGTATTTTGGGGGGGGTCTTTTTGAGACTGTAGCCCCAGCTGGCCTGGAACTTGCTATGTAGACCAGGCTGGCCTTGATCTCACAGAGATCTGTCTGCCTCTCTGCCTCCCAAGTGCTGGGTTTAAAGGCATGTGCCACAATGCTTGGCTATCAAGTTTGACAATGTTATTTTTCTCATTTTATAGATGGAAATGTGGATCACAGAGTTCAGATAATTTGCATGGTGTCATATAGGTAGTAATTATAGGAATTGTAAGGTATTCTTTTTAAATTAATTAATTGATTTTTTTTTTGTCTTTTTGAGACAGGGTCTCCCTGTAGCCCTAGCTGATCTTGAACTCTATGTAAACCAAGTAGACCAGGCCGGCCTCAATCTCACAGAGATCCTCCTGCCTCTACCTCCCAAGCGCTGGGACTAAAGGCATGTGCCACAATACCTGGCAGTTGATTTTATTTTATTTTGAGACAGTCTCACTGTTTAGTCCAGGCTGACCTAAAATGTGGAATACTCTTCCTTGAGCCTCTCAAGCATTGGGATTGCAGGCATGTGCCACTGTACCAAGTCAGAGCTCTTAATCACCTCATTATCTTCCTTCACCCCTACCCAATCCCATCTCACGCCAAATTTTAAAAAGCTGGTGATTTTGTATGTAATTTCACATCCAAAAATTTACTACATTTCCATTTCCCTCTAATAGTTTTCTTACTGAGCCTACTTGGTTTTGTAGGTAGGAAAATAGATTATAATCAGATATTCATAGTTTTTATCTCTATGTCACATGAATTTTTCTTGTCTTTTTTCCTCTCTATTTTTTATTTTTAAATATTTTATTATTTTTATTTTATTTTATGAGTGTATTGTCTGCATGTGTGTGAGTGCACCCATGTCATGCAGTGCTGAGGAGGTCAGAAGAGGGCTTTGGATTCCCCTGGAACTGGAATTAAGGACGGTTGTTAGCCCCCATGTGGGTGCTGGGAATCAAACCCGGGTCCTCTGCAAGAGCAGTCAGTGCTCTTAATCGCTGAGCCATCTCTCCAGCCCCTTCCTCTCTTTTTAAATTAGTGTTTTAAGTCAGCATACAAAGTAATATGTTTCATTATGGCAGTTCCATTCCAGCTTTGCTCACAATTTTTCCATATCTCCCCATACCCCTCCTCTTATCTCCCCTGACCTGCTCTTGCTGGTCACCCCCCAATTCTTTCATGTCACATGTGTTCCATTACCTTCTTTTAAAAATATTTTCTTAATGTATTGAACAGAACACCCAGGTCCTAGTGCTTATATAGCAAGTGTCTCACCCACTGATCTCCATAGCCCCTAAAAATATTTTACCATTGAGATTTGTTAGAATCAGTATCCAACCAGGGTCACCTTTTAATATTAGGGTATATCATGTCTTCTTTTTATTTATTTTAAAATGGAAAAATGTTAAATTTTTATTTGGGAATATTTAAAAAATATTATTAGCTGGGCTCATGCAGCAAATAAGTGTTGGATCGTGCACTGCAATTAAGGTCTGAATCTACAAAGCTTCTTATGCCGATATTACTATTATACAAAACTTTTTCTGCATGTATGTAATTGTACCTGTGTCATGCAATGCCCATGCTGGTCAGAAGAGGGTATCGAATTTCCCCTGGAACTGGAGTAATGAACAATTGTTAGCCACCGTGTGGATGTTGGGAATCAAACCCAGGTTGTTTGTAAGAGCAGCCAGTGCCCTTAACTGCTAAGCCATCTCTTCAGCCCCTATTTTGGAGTATTTTAAATATATACCAAATAGAATAATACAGCCTGTGTATTCATGACCAACTCAAGGGATTTATGATAGATTATTTAATGTGGCATCAGGCTTTTATTTGGGTGTTTTTGAGATAGTGTATCTATATAGCCCTAAGCACGGCTTGAACTCACTATGGAAAGCAGGCTGGCCTCAATTTTACAGAAATTCACCTGCCTCTGCCTCTTGAGGGCTGAATTAAAGGCATATACCACCACATGGGGCTTGTTTTTATTTTTTAACCCATGTATAGGGGACAGTTTTCCTTACAGCATTTTCATACATAGCTAAGTTTTAGTTGATCTCCCCACCCCATTCCTCTTCCCCCATCTTACTCATTTTAAATCTTTTAAAAGATAAAACCTGGGGCTGGAGAGATGACTCAGAGGTTAAGAACACTGACTGTTCTTGCAGAAGACCCGGGTTCGAATCCCAGCACCCACATGGCAGCTAACAACTGTCTGTAACTCCAGTTCTGGGGATCCGACAGCCTCTTCTGTACACTTACCTACATGCAAGCAATACACACATACACATAAAAATAACAAGTAAAATTTTAAGTGCTTTTAAAAGCTAAAAGCCAAGCAGTACCTCATCTCTTTTTTTTGAAATTTTTTTTAATGTGTATGAGTGTCTTTCCTACATGTATGTCAAGTGTGTGTGCAATGCCCAAAGAGACCGGAAGATGGCAATGGATCCCCTGGAACTGGAGCTATAAGTGATGGTTAGCTGCCATGTCGGTGTTGGGAACAGAACCCTTAGCCAGTGCCCTTAAATACTGAGTTATCTCTCCAGCCCCAGTACCTCATCTGTTTTAATTCCATGCCTTTGACTTAGTGAAGAAACCTGGAATTTGTTCTGTAGACTCTCCTTTGTTCTGAATATGACCAATCACTTCCTTGTCATGTTTTCCTTCTTTCTATATTGCCTGTATTTTCTGTAGACTACAATTTTGAGCTAAATACTTTAGATTCATATTCTTTATTGCTGTTTTAAAAGGAATAGTTTGGCTAGGCATGGTGGCAATTGCCTTTAACCCCAGCATGGGAGGCAGAGGCAGGCGGATCTCTGTGAGTTCAAGGCCAGCCTGGTCTACATAGTGAGTTCCAGGCCAGCTGGGGCTACAGGGAGACCCTGTCTCAAAAAAAGGAATAGTTTAGGAGTTGGAGAGATTGCTCAGTGGTTAAGAGCACTGGCCGCTTTTGCAGAGGACCTGGGTTCCATTGCCAGCATCCATATGGCAGCTAACAACTGTATGTAACTCTAGTTGCAGAGGAATGTTCTGGTCTGGGAAGGCACTGTATGCACGTGATGCACTTACATAAATTCAGGCAGAACACTCACAATATAAATAAATAATTTTAACAAGGAATACTTCATGGCTGGCACTAAGAAATTTCATTTACATAATGTCTGGCTGTCTTCTTTTTAGTACAATTACAAGTGTATTGAGGTGATGATGGTGTGATCACTTCGTCATACTTTTCTATTACCCTTTCACCTATAGGGGCTTTACAAGTCATTTGATAACTGTTCTATGAATCATTTTATTACAGCTTTCGTCATAATGAGTTTCCAAGTCTAATTCTCTCAGCATTCATAAATTAGAATTGCTTTGCAAAGATTCTCATTAGCTACAGCTATTTGATAACCCAAAAATACAGTTAGTGTAGGAAAGAGGATAAATGTTAACATTTTTTAGTTACCAGTTTTCCAAGTAAGGTGTCTGTCCTGTTTGACACTGACAGATTTTTTTTTTGTCTTTTTGAGACAGGATCTCCCTGTAGCCCCAGCTGACCTGGAACTCAATATGGAGACCAGGCTGACCTCAGTCTCATGGAGATT